TCCTTTCTGCAAATGAGATTTGTTCTTCATCTTCTTTGTTAAGGGATAAACATGAACTAAGCTGGACAATAGACTCATGTAGAAAAAAAAATCGACTTTGTGCAATGGTAGGAGGGCACACAAAGCAACACTTGTAAAAATGGCTAAAATGTAGAGAAGAGAGGATAAAACCTTCCTCTTTTGTTCTATTCTTGTTCTTGAAACTGCACACACAAAAAAAGAAGTAAAAAACGGCCTTGGAACATTAGATAGGATAGACCAGCACTGCCAATATTTTCTCTTTAGTAAAAATACACACATGATAATTACATTAAAAAATAGTTCGGAACTTGCAGTGTTATGCGCCCTGAAGACGTTGTAAGTATTATAAAGTTTAAACTAATATTACAATACCAATTTGAATGTTTATAGAAGGATAGTCGACAAGAACATACCTCACATCTGCCTTGACTCTCACTTCCACATGGGTCATCTTCAACAACAATATCCAATTGACAACCTTCAGCATCTGTTGGAATAAAAAATTCATATAATCCAAATGAAACTTTAACTACAATATTCTCATAAAATTTACTTACTTGATGAATTAGACTCTGTACTCCCGGCCGACGTAGCATCTGCGGACGTACCTGCGTAATGAGTGATAGTATTCTTAATAAAATTCAACATAATTAAACCAATTTCAAACAAATTGTATTCAAAAAATTTCAACCGATTTTATACAAAACAAATTATATTAAATCAATTTCAATCGATTCCAAAGAAATTACATTCAACATATTTCAAGTAATTATAAATAAATTATATTCAACCAATATCAATCAATTCCAATATTCACAGTAGTAAATGTTTTTCTCATGGTCACGTGTTCACAAACATGTGACGACTGAGTTTTCGCAATTAAAATCTCGCCCAAATAATCATTTACATCTTATTTCATGGCCACTTTCTTCTTATGTAGATCAATTTTCAGCTCATGCACCAAGACTTTCCAGAATGATTTCATTCATTATCTCTTCCAAATTCTCAACTTCTTCCATTATCTAAAATAGGTTTATATACTGGAAGCTGCCAAAAAAATGAATTCCAACTTAAAAAAAATAAAATATATCATACATCATGCTTCAATCTATCATTTACCACCCGAAAAAAATAGTATAAAGTAAAAATAATTAAATGGGATACTTCACACAATTTATGCGGCCAACAATATATGCAAAACAAGAGTACTTTATGCCAAAACCTATAAAAATAGCACAACAATTATCACAGCTGTAACACCCCCAGTTGGCTCATACTGAAAATGCTACCGCCACACTGCATCATGAGGTCGTCATCTCCTACTTCGGGCCCCACAATACAGTGTTAAGGCTAAAATTAACCATAAAAGCGCATTATTATATAACAAAATTTGATTTATGAATATTTACAAACACGCTCCTAAACAAGAGGTTTTTTTGGTTAAAAATTTACATATAATACAATAGATGTAAGTTCACTCACTCAGTCCGTCTTTCTATATCCCGAGACGTCCCCTGTCTCGGATGTGTCATGCATACCTGAAACAAATATTTTTCTTAAAAGGAGTCTAGAATTAAATCTATTTTAAGAACTAACGTGAAATATGTCATTTCATACATTTTAAAAATAAAGTCTAATTTCCGTCAATCATAAAATATGTGTCATGTCATGCCAATAGTGAAATGATGCAACAAAGATATCAAACTTGACAACAATGCACATCCACATATATATACATCCGCCGAAGTGAGCAGTTGGAATAACCTCGGCTCCATAATAATAGGCTCACTACATCTGTCTAAGTGCGCAGCCGGAATAACCTCGGCCCCGTAATAACAAGCTCACAAGACCATCATCAATAAATAGCCGGAAAATCTTCGGCTCAAGAAAGGACCTGATAAACCCATAATAATATAACGGTCATCCGGTCACTTCCATATACCCACTATACGACTCCCACAATCAATACATGGATAGCCGAACGTTGTTGCCATTAACCACAAAACGCCCCATAGTCTGTGATAGCGAAGATAGGACCCCCACTGACTAGCCCTATCCCGTGTAATGTAGTAAAATCCGTGCAACCTGGAATCACCCAACGAAAAACCCGGAATCTCTACTCCTCCTCTTGCGTCCTAACGGGATCACATTTGGAGTTTGGCATATGATCTTAAACTACCGGTAGACCTCACTAGTAGCTACTCCAATGAGTGGAACAACACCGAACACGAATGATTAGATCAAATACGTCTCAACTACCATGGGTCTAATTCCTGAATGACCGTGCGACTAAGTCACCCAGTTGTCCGACTACTATCATCCACTATCGCCAAAGTGTTACAGTACATCGGGGTCGAAGATCTTAACCCCAGATGATGCCCTCGCCTAGCACTACCGCACACGGTGACTAAACGATGGATCCATAAAACATATCCGATAAACCGTGTAATATGTGTGCAACATGTCAAATAAGTGAATTTACCGAAAAGGGCTTGTGAGACAGCTAACCTATCCTCATTTTTATAAATTCACCAACGCGATCAAATACGTATATCAAATATCATAAACTGTGAATTCTCCCACATGTATACACACACATATATATATATAAATATATATATGCACTGACAAAATTATTCACATAATATCACATTAACATATTAATCAGAATCGCATGCAACATGCATACCTAATTTTTTAAAATTAAATTTAATTCCTTACTGTTTACCTCTTATCGACACTCCCTAACTTTTGCAATCTCACCCAAATCTCCTCCAACGTACACTTGTTCCATTATTTACTCAAATCAGCGGAGCTATATGCTTATTCATAAGAGCTACATGCTTATTCAAAAGCTAATTTCTATAATTAGCTCGTTAGGTTTCAAACTTTTATATTTAGTAGACTATGATATTTTAGCTATAAAACTCTTATACCTCTCATAATGTTTATATCGCCCAATTATCAAATAAAAATATTTAAAGATATGAATAAACAGACATGTACAAATACACTGCCGTTTTTAATTCGACTCGGATCGATACGAAATTCTCAGAATATAATGCTAGGACTACAAATAGGCTATTATCTAAATAAATTCATCGATTACATAGCCAAATAGCCAGTTATGAATTTTTGAAGAATTTCTAATTTAATATCTTCAATATCTAAATTCATATTAAAATTCATAATTAAATTCTACGTATAATAAGGAATACAATACCGAAATCGGAATTGAAATCGGACGAGTAAATCTTTTTTCTTTCTTCTTCCTTTTTCTTCCTTCTTTTCTTCTCCCTGCGGACGTCCGCTTCTATTTTCTAATATGGGTTTGGTTTGTTTGTCTATTATATATATATATATATGATTTATATTATTATTATTATTAAACGTTATTATTAATATTATTTTCATCATCCATCCTTATCATTATTATTATTATTATTATATTATTATATATATCATATATTATATATTATATTTATCTTTATCGATATTTATCCGTTTAACAGTTTTTTCAATCATAATTAATAAATAAAATAGGAAAAAAAAATTTATTCCAAAATATTAATTTCTTAATCCCAAAATATTATAAAAATATTTATTTACTATAATAATATTATTTTATACACTTCGAAATTTGTACATTACAACAGCGGCTAATCACATACAAAATTTTGAAGGTAAATTAAATATTGTGAAGGGTTTTGTCTACATTCAAGAAGACTGCCAAGATTCAAATATATTTTAAGTGGTTTTTTTAGCATTGAGATATTTTGGTAAATATACTAGAAAAATAGAACCTAAAAATTAATATTCATCAGCAGAGTAAGATCTAAACACTACACTTTGCAAGCAACAAGACAACATAGAATTGAAAAATCAATGGTGTGAATTGAAAAAATAAAAAGAAAAATCTATATCTAATACACCCTTTACCACAATACGAGTTTGTTGTCCTTGTGGCAAGCCACCTTGTGCAATATCCTTTGCCTAAATTGCATTGATCTCTTTCTTCATGTGAGTTATCTATAGAATAACATAACGGTCAACTCTTATTATAAGTAACAGATAAACAATTTGTAATATAGGCCACAAGATCATGATATGAAAAGAATAACTGTTTTGGAGAACCCGTGACAGTTACAGATCAAATATAAGAAAGTAATCATGGTTTTCTTAGAATTATAGAAAATTGTTATCCCAATGAGACAATTATGAAAATTACAATTATAAATAATAAAAAAATAATTATTAAACAAGTTACAATAGAGATGCTCCATTATGCACTAATTAGCCAAGGCTAATGTATATCACTGCACTGCCATCTTTCTTATACGGCACATGGAACACATACAAACGATTGAATTGGTTAGTAATGTCTCCTGATATACACACTACTAAAAAACTGTTTTCTACTACCGCCGGAAAATCGTAACAACAAGCCATTTTTCGTGCAATTTGCGTATTTGCTACGCCTTTGTTACGACTTTTTTCCGTAATGTGTACTCGCGTAACAAATGTTTTTTGCCACGCGGTTTTTTGTAACTATTACTGTCGGTCAACGCTCCCTAATGCAGGATTTTTGTTACGCTATTTGTTATGAATTTCCTCTCGTAACCAAATGTCGATCCTTCCGCGCGTGTGTCAGAGCATTTGGTTATGATATTTGTTACGAAAGGTCGGCGCGCTACAAAAATGTTCCAGTGATCGCTTGGCATATTTGGTTTTTGTTACGAATATTTGTAACGACATTGAACCCGTAATAAAAAATATACTTTTTATTAGTCACGGAACAACCTGAAACAACAAACATCCAATGACCACTTTTTGTCACAGTATTTCATCCTTTTGTTACGCATAAATATCATGCTACGAAAATAGGTGTTACACTGCAATTGAAATTGTGCGTAACAAAAAGACTTGTTGTGATCTCCCCAATACCGAAAGAAATTCCGTATACACATAATGCTATAAACATCATCATTAGCAATACTTGCAAACATTAATTCATAGTATGCATAAGAATCCCGACATTAAGGGACATGGACACCACAGTTTTTACTCGACAATCTCCATACCTAACAACAAAGTAAAGCAACCCATAAAACAAGCCTAGCAAACACTACACAGCAACATCCTGTTCCGCAAAACGGGCTTAACAGTTCAAACACCAAACCTAACAATAAGCAAGTACGGATATCCATCAATCGATAACCACATCGTTCACCACACGAATTAAAACTCCAATGGTCTATGCATCCATTCCACATATCGTTCACACAGCCTCAACACAATCCAGCGAAAAATAGGTACGACATACATTCCATAAGACAAACGGGGCAACTAACACGGGTGAATCGGTAGATACGCTTCAGGGGCGGCGCTTGAGCTGCAATGGCCAACACAAAGATTAGTTTAAGTCGTATCTCTTATAAATTTCGGAAGGCAATACAAGAAAGGTATGAAAGTAGATCCGTACGTCACTGTAGTTCCACTCAATAGGATCTTCACCAACGACATCATGAAGGGTAGTCACCCCAGCAATGGTCGGCAAAATAGAGGGTGTGTCCGGGACTGAGGCGGATGTCACGAAGACCTTGACCAGGGAAAGTGTGTCACCTACAGTATGCACAAGTGCAATTTTTGAGTATATTGAGCCATAGATATCAATAGACGTTCAAAATGTATGTATAACATGCCACAACACAGACATTAGAAGTGTAAAGCTTTGCAACTAGAACAGTACGAGTATGTATATTCAGACATGTCGTACAATACATGGTATTATATCCATGAATTAGGTACCAAAGTACATTATATCCTAATTTCCTATGTGATTGCAACTCGATCTATAAACCAATCATCCTCCAATAAACAAATGTAAACCAGCAATATCATGTACAATATCCAAATAAAAATTAGTATTTCGAAGTTCTATATCCTTATGGCAACCCCCAAATGGGAGGGCTCCATGTATGTTTCGTAGTACTATGTCTCAATGAGATTAACTACCATTTATACACTAAATACGAGCAAACATCCGCATATGCAATTCCAAGTTTAGAGTACCGACCACTAATATATTAAATTTTATGTACCAAACTCATCACTAACAAGAGATACACCTTGGCAACAAGGGACTACATAGGATTTCAATAATAAAGTCAACTTTCAACATCTTTGGGGAAAGTCATAGTGTACCCAAATAGTGTAGTAGCAGCGTAGCCATAAACAATGTGATGTAAAAGATAAAAAAGACCAGACCAGTACAGGAGTCGGCATAATACCGCTGAGTTTATTGCCCCTATAAAAACAGTGTACATAACACAAGCAAATCCACATATCGTAACATTGTATATGTCTAGGCTCAAGAAAACCATGATCATTCGCAATATGAGGCCCGAACGGTCACAAAACCTACGATCCCTCGCCGAGGCATAATAAAAGTTCCAAAAAAAACCTTAAGACAATGGCACAAACCTGGCGCAGGGGGGCAGAGCAGAAGTCCCGGTGCGGGATAATAGAAGCACACGCGTGCCGACCTACAATAAAACATTACAGATGAGTTGGAAACGTAGTAGACTATCAAGAGTAGCCTAAATTAGGCACTGCACTGATTACTAAGAAACTTCAAGGTTTGACGGAATCATACCGTCAGACCTGGCTCGGACACAGGCCTGGGAAGCTCAGAGACTGAATCAATACGAGATGTGCCCTGTCATTTATGCGCATATCATGGTAAATTCCCATATTAGCCATCCCAATCTCATAGGATACTCATACGAAATGTACAGATATTATGAATACTTACTGCCTGGCCAGTAACTGCTCCGGAGTTTCTGTGCATGAATGCATACATATCAGACTTGATAGTTTTGAACTCAACCATCATTGCCTTCAACTCTGCAATTCCATTATGTATTTGTTCCCACCCTTGCTCGAATGCTACACTATCTGTTAAACTAGTTGCTTCATTGCGAGGATGGGCTGAACTTGCCGCACTATCGACCTTTGACCACTTCTTAATCTTTTCCCCAAGGGCCCGTCGGTACAGAGTCTCCCGAACAGAGGGAGTCCGCCCTTCAGGGGGAATCTTGTTTAGCTCATTCTGTAAATATGTCTACGAGAAAAGATTTAAGTGAGGCCGAACTCGCTTTTATTGTCAGAGAGGTACATAATTTCTGAATTGTCACTTAATTGGTACAATAAATTTATTATACCAAAATCTCCTCGGTTTCTTGGTCGTCCTTCCCCTTGCCTTGTGTCTGACTGGATATCCAAATCTCCAAATTGTCGGGGTCCTTCCCCTTCACTTTGATCTGCAACAACACAAGGCCTTATGTCATTGCAAAACACAAGCAACTATGTTTTGAAGAATGTAGGGATGGAGCATAGCATGACTAATTACTTAAACATAATGAAAGGTACCTTATCGGCGAGAGTTGTGAAGGACTTTCGCCCAGTACGATGCGGAAAGCTTATTTTCTGTACATTTGACGCATTTTTCTTGGATTGAAGCTACGTAGGAATCAAATTATTTAGTTCTCACCATAGGCCTATGCAGATATAATGTATATTAATTTGGATGGTCCCAATTGCATACCTTCACCTTTTCATCGCGCCAGTACTCAACCAACTTTGGCCACTAATCGGGCACGATCCTGCTTGAGGGAACCTTCTTCAATGCTTCCTCGTCGTCCTCGATCGGATTAAAGTAGGTTGATTTGATGTTGTATTTCCATTGCCTCCAAACTTCCCTTAGGTCAGCCATGACCACTTTCTCTGCTGAGTCTGGTAATCCGCTGTTACTCTGCAAAGACATTTGACATGGTTATCGCCCGATACAAACAAGATTGTAGGACCACGTATAAAACTATAATGAAATTAAAGAAATTTCATTTTATAGGAACATTGCATCACCTGAACCTCCATCCATGCACCATGTCTCTTCGTCTCCGGTATATCAGTTAACGTGGGGTAATTTAGAGGAAGTCGAGCTCCGTTGCGTGCAATGACCCCAATAGCTGTCTTGTACTCATTTAGGTCGGGTCCAACAATGCTTTTACCATCAGGCAATGTGAATATAAGCATCCTGTGATCTTTTCCCATCCATGCGGCATTCTTGCCGCCCCTATCCCTTGTTTTTTCTTGGACGAACCAGTTGGTACAAATAAGAGATTACATGTTATTGTAGATGTGCGTTTGTAGAAAATTTGAAATCAAAATAAATGCAAGACATAATCTTAGAAGGATAATTTCCAAACCGCCATCCGATGTTATCTCGTCCAATCGTGCCATATCGCCCACCTCCGTTCCTGTCATCAGAGCCGGGTTGGAACCTGGTTCTTCACCCAATAATGGCATATCACTCTCTGCAGTCTCCATGTCCTGTGTCGGTGGAAGTGTCTCGTCATCTGCTTCTGTGGGGGGGGGATTGTATCATCCTCGTCCTGTGTCGGTGCCGTCTGTTCAAGGACTTATGGGATATCCCTCTCATCATGTTCTTGTTGGGGTTAATAGCGTCAGCCTATAGCAGTGTTCTACTAATAGTTCAAATAGGGACCAGCTTCCGTAAAGAAGCCACATTACCTCCAAAATCCCCTTCGAATCCTGAAGCACTGCCCGTCGAGTGGAAGATGTTGTTTTGTTGCTTTGAGTACGAGCATCACGCTCTTTCTCCCACTATGATGTGATGGAGCAAAGTCGTTGGGGCAATGGTGAGACCCAAGATCCCTTCCGTTTCGTTGCTTTCTTCGTGGTTTTGCGGATAGGTGATGGATTTCTACTAGCCGGATTAGTTGCCTCTACGGGGCTATTGCATGTAGATGCCCGGGTAAACCGTCTTACGGGAGAGGCAGCCGGATCTTGTGACCCTCCTACAGCACCACGTTGAGATTTTCCCATAACCTACAAGGCACAAGCGTCAGGAATCTGTATGGAACACCATATAAGGAAGAAGTCACAACATAGATACCACAATTACAGTGAAACTAAGAAGAAAATACAACGATGTCGATGCTAGAGATGAAGGATCTGTAATGCTAGTACGTCAAATTTAATATAATGAAGAAAATAATTACTTAATTACAAACAAATAAGAGATTACATGCAGTTCTTGCCTTATGTCCACACAAATATTAGAAGTGGCAAGCATATGTTTTACCATTGTAATTGTGAAAGGCAAAGTTGATGCAAAGTCATTAAGCATGCAATTTGAGTTAATTGTCAATGCATAGATGTGTTTTGAAATGATGAAATTGAATACGTTATTCAGCTGGTGCAGATCGATGATCATCTGTAGGATAGCATTCATGGTGATGATGATTTTCAATCTTGCCGACAAGGATCATGGGTTGTGATGGGAAAATAAATATGAAATAATTCTGAAATCTGATGGGAAAAAATGTTTCAGATTAATGGGAATGCACTTAACACTTCATGGCACCACCCACCCAATAAACAAACATCACAGAAAAGTTTCTGCACAGTGGCATAACGTCAAAAAGAAAGCAAACCTTTCGGTAAACTCAAGGCTGGGTATCCCGGATGAGCACAGCACGCCTGCGTTGACACACGGTCACTTCCTACAAAATAACAGAAGTTAAAGATGCACTAATTTTCAATGAAAACGGCGCAAAGTACTACATTAATTAAACATGCACTAATTCACATTATGCATTCTCTCTTTTTCGGACTGAATTAGAACCATATATACCAGTTTTAGGACTCCATAGAAGATTTCATGGAACCAGTAACTAGCAGTGATGCAAGATATGACAATTTAAGAGATCAAATCGGTGCTATCAAATTTCTTATAAGTCAATCGTTCACATAATAAGCAAAGATAGCAAGTATGCAAATAGCACCTACTTATGAATATTCTACAGGTTCAACAAAACTCTACTGCTGTTTATGCAACTCCAAATTGAATAAAATAAAGGAGATGGGATCTCATTATCTGAGGCATCGGGAGGATTTAAAGAACCCAAACAGTGCCATTAATAAGTATAGAGAACCAACAATTATCCACACAAGCACGGATGCGGTTGATGGATGAATCCCTAAACCCCAACTTGGAAAGCACATCGCGTAGGAAACTTCAATTAACTCTGTCATAAGCATTTTCCATGTCAAGTTTCATGATGAGGCTATGTGCTTTTTGGCGGCTGTTGAGATCATGAACCATTTCAGTCGCAAGTAAGATATTATCCGCAATACTCTGCCTTTTGATAAATCCCCTCTGAGTCTTGGATATCATAGGAGGAATGATGGAGGCTAGCCTTGTACACAAGATTTTGGATTTGATCTTGTTAACCACGTTGCACAAGTTTATCAGCCTGAAGTTGTTCCAGTAAACAGGGTCATCGACTTTAGGCAAAGGGATGAGGGTGGAGGCAGTAAAACTTCTCGAGATGGGAGATCCAGCGAAGAATTCTTGGATCGCAGTAATAAGATCTTCGTGGATAATGTCCCAACAATGTTGATAGAAGAGGCTAGTAAAGCCTACAGGTCCAGCAACACTATCCTTGTTAATTGCAAAAACTGCACTTTTGATTTCCTGAAGACCCGGAGTACTGCAGATCATGTCATTATCATCAGAGGAAGCTTCGTGCTGGTAAAGATCAGGTGGAGCGTGTCCCAAACAGACCTTTTCATCTATTAAGAGCATCTGAAAATATTTTACTATGGAGGTTTTGTTTTCTTCCTGAGAAGTAATGTGTCGGGAGCCTTCTGTAATGAGGTGGATAAGGGTTCGCTGTCTTCTTCTTTTAACTAATGCATGAAAGAACTTAGTATTCCTTTCTCCTTCAACAATCCATCGACATCTATCTTCTTGCTTCCAAAACTCTTCTTCGAATGCTAGAGCACGAGTAAGCATAGCATTGCATCTGCTAAGCTCAATGAGATTGGCCTCTGATTGTTGCTGCTCAAAAGTTCTTTCACTGTTGAGAACATCATGTTCAGCCTTGATCAACAAGTGGAAAACAATGGCAAAGATGTTCTTATTCCACCATTTTAGATGCTGCTTCAAGCTGATAAGTTTCTGTTGGAATTTGATAAGGCCGTGAGTTCCAGATCAACTTCTATTCTTTTCTGTTGCCTTCAGATCAACTTCTATTCTTTTCCCTTTCTTTTTTGTATGTAAGAGGTGCCGAAGATCCCGCTGTTTAAACCCATTGGAGTAGTTTGAGTCTTCATTAGTATCAACATTGTCCTGAACCCAAGTAGGGTTCACCTTATCCATTCAAGTAAGGTCCTCCTCAGTGAAGCCTTCCTTATGTTGGGATTTATCTCTTGGAATCTGATCTTCTTTTTTTCATTGCAAGGAGCTTCTTAGATCCTTTTGTTTATGTCCAAAATTCTCCTTATTACTTGGATTCGAGACAAAATTAGTCGATGAAGCAAGACATCCTTCCAAATCATGTCCCAGATGCTTACAAGAGACAATATTTCGGCACTTTCTCATTTTCCACTTGCTGTTCCAATTCAACTCCATTAATGAGCAAATAGATTTTTTTGATCAGAGGGCGAGACACATCAATTTCAATACAGCCTCGGGCAGCTGAAATTCTAGCCTTGGGAGTTGTTGGCGTATCCACTTTCAGAGGGGTACCAATCAGTGAGGCAATGGAAAAAAGAGCATCCCTCTGGCATAATTGGGCAGGAAGCACAGGGAACTGAACCCAAAATGGTACTGCGGGAGATTCGATTCCAAGTTTAAAAGAAGGATTCCATTTCAAAACTCTCATAGGGAAGCCTCTGCTGAACCAAATTCCTCAGAGTCCAAATCCGAGTGTAATCCTCCTCATTGGCAAGGCGAATCAAAATATGTTTAAAATTTATTTGTAATAACTTGAATTCCCTATTCAACTTGAGATCATTGAACGTATCCTAACAATGCTTTCCATGAGGAATATCCTTGAGTGAATTTTCCAACCAATGAGAACTTAAAATCAATTGCCAGAAAAGCAGTCTCCTCATTTGAAAATTCCAACACAGGGCCATTGTTGGGTTCAGTAGTAGAACCAATGGTTTTCGGGTAGGGAATGGAAAAGAAAAGAATTGGTTGAAAGGGGATGTTGTTTGTCCAGAGGGTTCGGAGGATGGTTGGCAACGACTCCAGCGAAGGAGTGACGAGCAGGAGGCTCATCACCCATCTTAAACAACAAGCCAGAAACACAAACACCTCAACCCATACTGATCCTAGGGTAGAGTCGAACAGGTGCAGGTTGAGATTCTTCCCTTTCAAACCAGCAGACCAAAACCAAAATTCCAGAACCAAAATAATCATGTGATAAAATTACACCATTAATAAATCAAACTTCACAGGGCACTTAAACAATCTGCCTACTCGTTCTCTAACACAAGAATATGTTATCCTACCAATTAATCAAGTTCTGTTTATCACACACAAGTCATACAATTCCCAATACCACCTGAGAAAGAAGAAGAATATTACGAAGCCCTATTTCGATTTCTCCTTACAGAGGACGCGATGAAGAACCGTGGATCGATCCTCATACTACTCGAGATAACTTAAAAACATTACCTAGACGCCGGTGCCGATTAACCTCCTCGATCCCACCTTCGCCCAGTACGTTGCGTAAGCTCCTTCAAATCGCGTCGAAGAATGAGTTGTGCCCTAACTTTCTGAAATTCGCTAAGGGTGGAATGTATTCGGCACCAAGGAGGGGAAGAAGAAAGCCCGCGCCCTAAATTGTTCTTACTTTTCCAAAAGCGCTATAGCGTTTTTACCATTTTTAAAATCCAAAATATCTTTTAAATTTTAAAAATAAATTTATACGCCATTTGTTACAAAGCACAATCGTAACTAATGTTATTTTGAACAAATTCTACAACTCCGTTTTTGTTACGGCTTAGTTTGTGTAATTAAAGAACCTGAAACGTTGACCAAAAAAATATTTTTGGTCACGGAACTTGTCGTAACAATAACCATTATTTGTTACGATGTTATTGTAACGACCGTCGAGCCGTGGTGAAAGACCATTTTTTTGGTAGTGACACGAGAAAAACCTAATAGTACATTCAAAATACAAAGTAATTAGTAACATGATACCTTATGTACTGCTCGTGTGTCTCGCATAAAAGTAAAATAAAATATTAATTCCTACGCCACATAAAAATGCAATATAGATATGGTGAGTAGGGTTGTCTCCGCAGGAAAGCAATAAAGATTTGACAACTTGGTAATTTATAATTAATATATATATACATATAAAGGGGATTTGAGATTTGATTTACTATGTGAAATAAAGGAGAATAATTCAAATTCGAAAGAAAATAAACTAAGCTAAAATATAACCAAACACCAAAAATAACTAAACTCTAGCATAGGCACAAATTTTCGTTCGGGATATGAAAAT